CATGCTATGAGCCTTCTTCAAGGTTTACTTCAACATGCTGGTGAGTCCTAGAAGCCATAGGTGGCCTGCAATTCTCACAAATCGCTTCCATCTTATGGTTTATCTAGTAAATCAGCTGATTTTGAGTCCTCAAAGCACAAACCAAACCTTCATACAGACTTGGCAGTTTTTCATGGTCGAAACTGCTGCTGATGTCTTCTTCAAAAATCGACAACATAGGGACCCGCCGATGCCAAAAAGCAGAAACCCTGCTATCATTAATTTAATTATATAAACACCTTTGGCATCCTCCTGAGACAGAACTGAAAGACATATCAGCTGCCAAACTCCCCCCTGATCCCTGACGTATCCTGCAGCGTGAGTCTTGGCAGGACATGAGGGCTCTCCAGGACACTGTCGTTTTGTTGAAAATATGTTGTCGATTGCATTGAAAGTCCAGCTCACCAGATCCATAATAGTATTTTTTGTTCAGAAGATATGTATCAGGAGCTCCCAGACACAGACAAAGAGCAAAAAGCAGGGGAAATAGGAGAACAGGGGAGGGAGAGGAGAAAGTGTCCACCTTGAGCGAGAGCAAGACAGAAAAAAATGTATTGTATTAAAAAAAATCTAAATCTGAAGTATCTGGGTATACCACTTGTTGTTTTTTTGTGTCTTCAAAAGTTTATTTTTAAGACATGAAGACCCTTCACTTGAAATTTTGAAGAGAACAACCCCAGGAGGCTGCAGCGACGAGTCCAAAGGCCCCGCCGGCAACCTGCCCCTCCAAAGTAGATCTGGCTAAGGATACCGAGCCCCGAGGTCATACCGAGCCCCGAGGTCATACCGAGCCCCGAGGTCATACCTCCCCCAAACAGAGGCCCGACAGAGCCAAGGCACCCAGGCCCTGGCAGCCACCAGGGCTGTCCTTCACACCCCACCACCCAGCCCCAGATGCCAAGAGCCGCAAATGCACCGGCAGCAGGGGGGCCCATCACTGGAGGGGAGCACGACAAGGGGAAGTAGACCCCACAATAAAAAAAATAATAATACAGCCAAAGCTAATCATAGCACTGACAGTGCTTGCGTAACGCAAGTTAGTTGCATTACATTAGTTGCATTACACAAGTGCCCTGCCCATACGTGCTGTCAGGGCATATACGCAACTTGTGTAGCAAGGTCAAGGTCAAGGTCAAGGTTCTTTATTATCATTCTCATCACATGTGGTACATGTGATGGAACAAAATTGTGTACACAGGGTCCCAGTTACATCCAACAAAAGTATAAATTGTAAAAGAAAAACAGTAATAAGATCTAATAGAACTAAGAAATACACTAAACTAAGAATACGCTAAACACTAATAGTACAAAAACAATACGCTGAACAACAGCAGCATGAACTTGAGTAACGCAAGTTTGCGGCACATATGTTAGCTAGATTAGCTAGGTAACGTATGTGCTGTAACTTGCGTAATGCAAGGTTCCGGCACATACGTTAGCTATGTTAGCTAGGTAACAACAGTGAGACGGAGTGAAGAGATGCAAATGCTGAACCCTTTTCATGGCAAAACAAACAGGCAGTAACACATCCACTCACCAAGCTAAAGTATAAAAGTAATGCAGTTCTTTGAAGATGAAATGGCTGTCGGAGTATCTGCAACAGAAGAACAAGCGGTGAAACTGGGTGAGATGTTTTCTTTTTCAAGTGGGATAGGTCTGCTCTTCTCTTGCAGCAAAGCCAAAGTAGCAAGCAAGTTTTGGATGTACAGTGGAGTGACAGTGTCAAAGAGGCAACCGTACAGCTGACAGCAGAAATACTGGTGAGTGTACTCTTTTTATTAGTAAGCTCTGTGATCCCATGATGCTCATTTTCCAGAGGAGTGGTCTGCATTTGACATTGACGCATTGAGCTCAGACATCAGTTTTGACTATGGACCAGCAGACATTGCCACACTGGCAAAGAAGGATGAGGCCATTCTCTGCACCCACAGTCTATGGAGGCCATTAACAGTCAAAATGCTGAATTCAAGTAGATAAGGAAGCAAAAACTGAAATGGTTCAATCAGCACATTCTCAGATATGATGTGAGGAGCTAAAGGACATCTTACAGCTTGTGGGTATTCGAGCTACATTTCAAGCTTCCAGAGCTAACTGTGAAAGAGAATTTAGTTTAATGAATCATATCAAAACAGCATCCAGAAATCATCTTGAAGTGAAACATTTGTACCAGCTGATGCGCATAAAGTCAAAGAAAGAAGCAGAGGAACCATCGACCAGGACAAAGTGTACAACCATTATGAAGTGAGAAGGACAGACGTGAAAAATAAGGTACAATATAAGTCAGATTTGTGCATAATCTAGTGACATTTATTATGCTTTTTTATTTATGGATATTAATCATTAAATGTGGTTACTACTAGATAATTTATGAGTAGTAGAAATGCTAATAAAAAACTGTGTAAATAGATATTTTACAGACAGAGATACAGGAATAACAAGGAAGGAACAAGGAGTTACAGGACACTGTATCACAAGCTACAGCACAAGGTCATTGTGCAAAATGTGAATGTTTCAATGCGAACAAAATGTTGTGTCTGAAAGGTGTATATGTCTCGTTTCTTCCAGAGCAGGACCATCACCCAGGCCACAACTGGACCCTCACCCAGACCAAAACAGGACTCTCACATATTTTCAATTAAATTCAACCTTTCTTTAAACAAGTTAGTCTCGTTGAACATATAACATACTACACATCTCATGAACAAGATTTCTGTCTTTTTGATTTGAAGTGGGCCAAATCACTTATATTAAAAGTAAAGTAATGAAAATTGCGGCTGTAATTTGATTATTTTAATAAGCCATGTAACTTGCTATGATCCCAGGTTTTGAACAGGTGTGATACTGGTGTGTGACCGTGCACATCTGATGTTACTCACAGTGGACCTCAGGGAGCTCATGGAGCTTGTGTGTTTGCCCAGACACGTGAAAAATTAGAGGAAACATTGCTATTGCTAGTTTTAACGTCTAGCTTTCACAATGCTAGTTTTACCTTTTAGTTTTGCTCCTTTTAATAGCCTTTTGCTTTTATTTAGCTTACCCCTTTCTACTTTTTAGCTATTTATAGCTGCTTTTAGCTACTGTGGTTTTTGTTTTCTGCTTGTGGCTTAAATTTACCTAACGTTTACATTTGCCACCTTTATTTTTTTTATCTACAGGTCTCAGACAGCTTACAGATCTCTCTCTTTTAAATGAGTCCTCGTGACTCATTGAGACTAACCTGTATACATAAAGGTTGAATGAAAAAAGTCTATTTTAGCTTCTAGCTTTCCTTTTGCTCATATGACATGGTGTTTTGTTTCTTTTAATTAGCCTTTTGCTACTTTCACTTGCATTTTGCTAGTTTTAGTTATTTGCTAATCCATCTCTACTTTTAGTTATTGTTTGCCTACTTTTAGCTTCTTTAGTTTTTAGCTAGGCTATGAGGGAGTGGTGGCGCTACATGGTGAGACTGTGATTGGAAGGTCGCCAGTTCGACTTCCTGGACCGACAACATCCTCCACCCTCATTTGCCCCACTATGGGCCCTTGAGCAAGGCCCTTAACCCCCACCACCTGCTCCCCTGCGTGCCCTATGCTCCACTCAGAGGGCTGTGGTAGCTCGGTGGGCTGTGGCTGAATCAGGAAGAACATGCGGCATAAAAACAATTACCAAGTCTTCATGTGAGTTAGTTTGCTGTGGTGACCGATAAAGAAGGGAGCAGCTGAAAGAAGAAGAAATACTTTAAAAAAATGTGTACAAAGTATTATTTGTAGTATTTTCCTCCAAGTCAAACAGTTGTTCAAATGTCAAAGAAACAAGATGATATGGGACAAAATAAGGCAAATAAAAAGCTTTTAGAGGTTTTATCCTTGCCTCCTGTTTGGAGTAAAATATATTAGCAGTTCCAGTCGTCTTATCACTTCTGATAAACCATGACACACAATTCCAAGTTCACCTTTAACCCTCCACATATAGCCCTTTCAGCACAGGACCAATTTAGTGCCACTGTCAGATAGAGACACTGTTAGTGCACTTGTAAAACCATATCACAGTGGTGAATTGTTTTACTCCATGGAAGCACATGAAAGAAGCATCAGGATCAAACTTTACTCGTTATAGCTCGGTATTAAAGGATTGGAGATAAGAACGGATGGAAATGATGCATCAGATGCCAAATTGATCAAATTCTAATTTGATAAATTGTATCTGCTGATGAGACTTCGAGCTCAATAAAAGCGGAGAAAGAAGTTTTTGTTAACGTGCACTGTGCAGTTCAGAGATTTAACACAAAAACCGTGTCGTAAATATTTTATCGAGACGCGCTCACGCTCTCATGCTGATAAAGTAGCTGCAGCCGACTGAAGCAAAGACCTTTTATCTTAACAATGATTCTGAGAAAGAGCTTCAAATATAAGGACACTTTGGGAACACTTTTAGAAGAATGTAAGAGAATTCTCTGAAATACACCCACCCCCTAAAAAAGAAGAAGAGGGAAACAAAAGAGAAGGGTTTTTTTTTTTTCCTCAATGTAAGCGTCTAAAAGCTTCTACACAATAAAAAGCTCTTTGCTGTCGATGAACATCTCTGCTGGAGTTTCTCTCCATCTTCCCTTCTGTTCCAGCCCATTAGAGGGAGTAGGAGCTGGATCACTTGGAGGAAATGAGATAAAGATCCTCATCAGCTTAATGCACGGACAAAGAGCCATGTGCACAAACTATACTGATCTGTGTCTGACATGATGTTTGCTTCACACAACACAAACACAAGCACTGAAGTTTTTATAGTGTTCATCATGCAGAAGGGGAAGTTGGAACTTTGTGCAACACACACACACACACATACAAACCTAGTGCACTGTAGGAATTATCAGACGAACCCTGTCCTTATGTTACACACACACACACACACACAGGGAGAGAGAGAGAGAGAGAGAGAGAGAGAGTATATAAAAGGCTGGGCCCTTGAACTCTCCTTTCATCAGATAAACAAACTTTAAGGCAAGCTGCTGTCGCTCTCACACTGATCCAAAATGCCTGCAGACTACAGTGGACGCTGGGAGATGGTGACCAACGAGAACTTCGAGGAGTTCATGAAAGCCCTCGGTGAGTTCCATCCATACATTTAACAATGCACAGAAGGAGAGGATACTTCACAGACCAGATGATGTGACAGAAAAGGCAACTGAGCTTTAGTCTAAAAGGGACAGACAGATGGAAAAAAGACGGGAGAAGTGAGACAGCTTCATCTGCTCATTAAGCCAACTGTCAGTAGAAGTTAACCTCTACTCAGTGAGCTGCTGCTGCGCCAAATAAATATTGATTCAGTCCTTTCTGCATCTTTTATCCTCCTGATCCGCAGAAACAAAAGACAGATTCCAGCTCGTGGTTAGGGAACGAGCCAGCTCTCCTCCGTTTGTCGCCTCATTGATCAGACCCAGAAACACTTTCATTATTCACGACTCAATCTGCAATTCATAAAAACGAGCCCCTAGGTGCTTTCAGCTCCCACAAAAACCCCAGAAAGCCTCATCGCTTTCAACTCATTTTCTCTGAGCGCGCAGGAAAATGGGATCCTTATGGAAATGGGTCAAAATGCCATTCAGATGGGTAAATAAAGGAGCCTCATCTGTAAGAGCGATGGGCAGGAATTGATTTTTAATTTCAGGGAAAATTGAAAATGAATATCTAAATAGTCTGACAGATGGAGGTTCACTTTGGAAGAGCGGCACGCTGAAGGAGGTGAGACACTGATTCAGATCTCTTCTGACTTGGTTCAAGGTCATTTCTAAGTACTTGGACTAGTGGTTCCCAATACCAACCTCAAGTACTTGTACACATAAAAACACCCCAATACTTCTAACTGATAACACTTTTATGCTGTCCTCTTTCATTTTGCAAGCAATCATGAAAAATTTTTAAAAATGTCATAAATTAGAGCTGTTTTAAGATAAATCCAGGTGATGTTATAAGAGCAGATTGATTACTGTGTTCTTAATAAAAGAAAAGTGTTTCTAAAGTCATTGTGTAATGTTTAAGTACTAACTCAACTGTGCTGTATAGGCAAATACCCAAACTGAAGTACTTGTGCATGGTCTTACAAACAACTAGTATTAAGACAACAATTTTCAGTCAGGTCATCTGTACAGTTTATTTTGTTTTTGTGCATAAACGTGTATTAAGTATTAAATAGTATTAGGCCACCCCTAACCTAGACCATAACGACAGATTCACATGTGACACATGGATTTTAAACATATTTGTACACAGAACACCTAAAACTGAACAAAGTGTTCATAGCACCACTAAACTTTTTCTGGCGCATCTTTTTTTGTTTTGAACGCAGACATTGACTTTGCCACCAGAAAGATAGCGTGCCATCTGCATCAGACAAAAGTGATTGTCCAGAATGGAGACAAGTTTGAGACCAAGACCCTGAGCACCTTCAGGAACTACGAGGTCAACTTCACCGTGGGCGAGGAGTTTGAGGAGCACACAAAGGGCCTGGACAACAGGAAAGTCAAGGTGGTACTGATGAAATGTCAAATCCAGACAGATGCCTGAACTCCTGGTGTGATGTGCATCATTTAATTGTCTCTGCTGCGATGTGACAGACCCTGGTGACCTGGGATGGGGACAAGCTGGTGTGCATTCAGAAGGGGGAGAAAGAAAACCGTGGCTGGAAACACTGGATCGAGGGTGACCTGCTACACCTGGTGAGGATACCCTTTTAAACAAGTGATTCTTAACTAATGCCTAAAGAAACAATAAAATATACTGTATATTGCTCACCCGATGCAATCTTTTTGAGTTGCATCATGCTGAAATGTCTATTATCTTTGAGCAATAACAATAAAAATCCTCCCACAAGAACACAGATATAAGATCTGCCTGCTGTGCAGTTACAGACACACATCTTGCATCATGTTGCTCTCTGAGTTTGAAGGTCTCTGCCTTGTCTTTCAGGAAATCACGGTTCTCGACAAAGTCTGCCATCAAGTATTCAAGAAGGTGCAATAAAACTGGAAGGGTTGTGTGTACTACTGTGTACTGTGTGTCCTGCTGCTGTGTGTTTCAATGTGGAGAGCTGTAATAAAACATTTTAATACAACCTTTTCTGCACAAGCGTTTTTAGTTTTAACACAAGCAGCATTAATAAGAAGTGTATGAATGATAAACTTTAATGCTGGGTGTTTTGTATTTAAGGTGCAAAAAAAAAAACCTCTGGTCAAACTGGAGATATCATAAATCCTAACTGGGTTTTGTGCGTTCAATGCACCATTTAAATAATCACTCAAATATCAAAATGGACCTTGGTGTACACAGATTCTCATAAAGAAAATTATTTGATGCTCATGAAATTTTTTAAACAACAACAACAAAAAAAAGATTATAACAATGTATTTTTTGGAATCGAAATATGTGGAAAGAAAAAGCAACAGGAAAACTGCCTACTTATTGAGTCCAATCCCAACATTCAACCGCATACATATGGTTTGTCTTATATTTTCTGTTAAATGTAGATTGTACCCTGCAGATGTTGGATGCTGTCTATCACGGTGCACTAAGATTCATAACTGGCTGTAACTATCATACTCACCACTGCACCCAGTATTCACTGGTTAACTGGTCATCATTAACTTCACACAGACTCTCCCACTGGTACATGTTCATCTTTAAATCACTTTTTGGTCTGTTGCCTTCATACATCTCCTCCTACATGTCTCTGCGTGAGTGCAGCTACAGCGTGCGCTCTCAGGACGTTATTACCTGCAGTGTTCCCTCAGTGAGGACTGAACTAGGCAAAAGGGCCTTCTCCTACTCCGCTCCTGTTTCCTGGAATATCTTGCAAAAAGATCTGAAGCTCTCGATCTTGACTTCTCTAAGTGACTTCAAACATCTGTTAAGTTCCTGGCAAAAACCAACGCAGACATATTCCTGTTTTTAGTATTTTATATCGCCTTATAACCTAGATGTTTTTGTTTCATTTTATTTTAATACCATTTTCTTTCATTTGTTCTTCTCAATTTATGGGATTTATTTTATGATTGTCCACTGTTGTCATCACTCTTTGTTCAACTCAGGTCTCTCTTGTAATTGAGTCTCTGAGGCTCAATGAGATTAATCTGTATACATAAAGGTTGAATGAAAAAAAGTGTTTTTGTTAGTTAGTTTAGTTGCAGTTTTCTGGTAGCTAAAAGATTCAGCTCTTTAGGAAGAAATTGTGTAACTAATGTCTGTGTGGAGCTTTACCTGCTAACTGGAGAAAGAGTGAAAGAGTCCCAACCTAAAATCAGCCAGTTAGAGCCATTTCATGCCTTTAAAGTGTCATTTTTAACGTTTAGAAGTAAAAAGCTGAACTCAAATGACTAAACACTCATTTTAAAAGCTGTTAACATTAACTCTTACAAGTTTTTGTCCCCCATGGTTGAGGGGGAATTGGATATATCGTCAATCAGTTTGTTCATGCATGTTGTGAGCTGGAAAATGTGAAAAATAAGTGAGGTACTAACTTCTGTTCTGGTGTGTGGCTACATCTAAAAGGTTCTTTTTGCAAACTGGGTTGCCACATCAAAATCCAAGATTGCCATTGCCATATGTACAGTATATACATAGACCAGCCATCACGATCATTTGAGGAAAATATGCTCTCTAGTTTTTATTTTGTCTAAAAGTATAGTTTTGTCAAATGATTGGGGTGGCCAAAGCTTAATCTACAGTGGCCAGGGCCACCATTGGCCACCCCCTGGCTCCACCATTGCTCCTGGTGGTAGATAAAATTGCTCACTCCATTCACCAGGTTCTGTCACTCTGCGCTGCTGCAGAACAGCAAAAAATAAAAAACTAAAGAAAAGTCACTCTTTTACACACAGTATAACTCCTACCCACTTAAAAATCTTGCACTAGAAACGTTGAGGGTACTTGCATTCCCTGTTCAATTCCAGTTCCAGAAACTGTGATTATTCATTATTCAAATCCTTCAGTGATGGAGGTCATCGACATATCGCTTGTTCTTGTTTTCCAAGTCTGGTTTGATGTTTCATTATCGCCTACAGAACATGGAAACTCCAGTCTTCCAACCAGCAGCTCAGCTGAGCAGATGACAGCAGCAACTGGTGGAGAGGACTGTGAATGAGCAAAGACAACCAGAAATCCAGTTTAAAGACTGATGAAGACGATTTCAACTCTTCAGAGAAACGTGTCAAAACTGTGGCAAAAAAAAATGCTTTTTAGCTGATGGTTTCATGAATCGGGGCAGCACGGTGGTACAGCTGGTAGAGCTGCTGCCTCTCAGTGAGCAGGTTGCCCCAGTTCAAATCCCAGTCCGGGGGCCTTTCTAGGTGGAGTTTGCATGTTATCTCCGTGCATGTGTGGTTTTTCTCTGGATGTCCTTCTTGACACAACCCGGGCTCGAACCTGCAACCTCAGAACTACAAGACTGCAGCACTGAAGCCACCGCGGCTCCGATAGTTTAATGAAGTAAAGCTGAATAATAAATAAGATGATGCACTCTGGTTTAGAGTGGGAGGAAATAATAAATAAAATCAACCAGAACAACTGATTTTTTTTTTTCTTCTTCATTTTATTATTAGGGCAGCACGGTGGCGCAACTGGTAGAGCTGCTGCCTCTCAGCAAGCAGGTCCCTGGTTCAAACCCCGGTCCAGGGGCCTTTCTGGGTGGTTTGCATGTTCTCTCCGTGCATGCGTGGGTTTTCTCCGGGTACTCCGGTTTCCTCCCACAGACCAAAAACATACATGTTAGTCTGATTGGTAACTCTAAATGGTTCCTAGGCGAGAGAGTGAATGGTTGTTTGTCTCCTTTGTGTCTCTGTGATGGACTGGAGACCTGTCCAGGGTGTCTCCCACCTGTCGCACAGTGACTGCTGGATATGGGCACCAGTGACCCCTATGAACCAAAAAGGAAGAAGCAGGTAAAGGATAATGAATGGATGGATGGATGGATGGATGGATGGATGGATGGATGGATGGATGGAAGGAAGGAAATCTATGTATTCATATAATATTTTCCATTGACAGCTCATCAAGTGTAACGGATTAGACTGAATTCTGCAGCAATTTAGCACAGCTTCTGGAGAATAAACACAAACAGCTGAATATTTATCCCAAATATGACTTTGCAGCTTTCATAAATCTGCCTCTTAAGTTTACTCTGCAGGTTACTCAAATGAATAGCAATAGAAAAACTCAAATGTGTTTAATTTGAATAGATTTTTTTAATCCACACCTGTGTAACATGATAAAAAGATGCTCTTGAGCCAGTTCTGAATTGAGATGTGGTGCACCTGCTTCAGTTTATTGTTCTTCAGGTTCATGCGCTTCGTTCCGTGATAATCCTCCAGTCTCTTTGGCACCTCTCTACCATAAAGTGCCAGTTTAGCTTGGCTCAGAAGTGTCTGCACCAAGCTGGGGATTATGGAGGATTACTGCTGCTAGTCACCGCCCCTGGCAACACAGAGATGGTGGGTAATCTGGCGAGAAGGGAGAGAAGCATGAGGAAACCAGTTTGGTCTTCCTCACCTATTTAATGCAGGGGAGGTCAGTGTTTGAGAGGTAGTCAACCAACATGAGCTGTTTGAAACTGATTATGTCTTCGGTTTTTATTTTCTTTGTTTATCCCACCCCTACACTGACAAATATGCAATTCTAGACTCTCAGAACAAACAGCATCTGCTCCATTAAGTCTCAAGGTAAAGTTGCCTCTAATCACAGCACAACACATTGCTTTGCTGAGCCAATTGCCGGATGGTGCACTTTCTAAAACCATCACTTTATTCTGAAATTGTTTATGCACGTTTTTATTCATTAGGACTAAAAACTTGCAAGGTACAGATTAAATTTATTTAAAAAAATTGCTATTTTTTCAGGGTTTTCATAATTTATTTCAAGCATGAGCTGCACAAGCCTCTCTTCCTCCAGAGTAGTGCAGCTGTGGAAGAAGAACCTGGCCAAGGTTCCCCAGACAGGCAGCAGATGTTCTGGCTGAGCTCAACCTGTTCGTCGGTCTCCTGCGAGCCCTGCTGTCTGAGCAGAATCTGAAGGAGACTCATGTCAGGGTCAGACCTGCTGCAGGACTCTCATCACGTTCAGCTGGAGGATCAGCATACTGACTTTTAAACAGCATTGTTGCCTCACAGTAAGAAGGTTCTGTGTTGGATCCCTAGTTTGGACCTGGGGTCTTTCTGTGTGGAAATTGCATGTTCTTCTCGTGTTTTCTCCAGTTTCCAAACGTATGTTAGGCTGCCATCAGGCCCCTTTTCAAAAGAGATTTGTGATTAATTAAAAATACTTCATCTAAAAAGGGATGTGTGACTAAATAATGATGTACTTTTTTCAATATTGAAAAAAATGAACTGTTTGAAATTACATTTTCTTTGTTAATCTGTTCTTCATCCAAAACGAGATGGTTGTTTTCTAGAGGAATCTGCAGGTTTTCATCTCGGACTGCTGAGCAGTGACAACACAAATATGTAACTCAAAGTTGCTGCTTTGGACATTATACTTTCTCATCCATGAATATTAGCTAATCCCACAAGCAAAAATCTGAACAGAATACTGTAGTGATGACAGTGCTGCAGCCACTGGAGATAAAATATTTACAGATAATACTAGAAATAAAAAAAAAGTTTACATCTAATCATGTCATTTTAATTTGGTGATTTTAATTATGTAATTTGTACTACTCTTTTTCCAGGACACGATAATTACAGTATATAATGTACATCGTAATTATTTTTATGATCATGTTGTTCTATAGGGCGATGCAGTTGGTAGAGCCGTTTCCTCTCAGTGAGAAGGTTGATGGTTCAAATCCCAGCCCGGGGCCTTTCTGGGTGGAGTTTGTATGAAAACATGGGTTTTCTCCAGGTACTCCAGTTTCCTCCCACAGATCAAAAACATGCATGTTAGACTGACTGGTAACTCTAAATTGTCTCTAGGTGAGAGTGAGAGAGTGAATGGTTTTGTCTCATTTGTCTCTGTGATGGACTGGAGACCTGTCCAGGGTGTACCCCGCCCCTCGCACAGTGATTGCTGGACATGGACACCCACCGGCGACCCAAAATGGAAGAAGCGGGTAAAGATAATGGATGGATGGAAATCATTGAAGTTGTAAAATCATTCCACCCTAAAAAAAAAGAATAGTAATGAAACGGGTTGCCATACACCTGTAGGAGATGAAAATGACAAAGAACCTGGACCAAACTCTGAGAATAAAATCAGAGTTTGGTCCAGGTTCTTTGTCATTCTCATCTCGTGTGGTGGAACAAAATGGTGTACACAGGGTCCCAGGTACATCCCACAGAAGTATAAAATGTAAAAGTGGGGAGTGGTGGCGCAGAGGTTAGAGAGGTGGGCCTGTGATCCGAAGATCGCCGGTTCACGCCCCGGCCCCGACAACATCAAAATTGTGGGTGGGGAAGGTGAAACACTCACACTTGCCCCCACCCTCATTCGCCCCACTCTGGGCCCATGAGCAAGGCCCTTAACCCCCACCATGTGCTCCCTAAAACAGGTCTCTCTTGAAAATGAGTTCTCGTGGCTCAATGAGACTAACCTGGATAAATAAAAGGCTAAATAAAAAAAGAAAAACTGTAATAAGATCCAAGATACGAACTAAGAAATATGCTAAACTCAGAATAAACTAAGCACTAGTAGTACAAAAACAATACGCCGAACAACAGATTTGATAGATGGGTTCTGACTTTAAAGTCAGAATTATGAGATTAAGGCAAGACACCTGATCCCCGACTACTCCCCGGGCACTTCCATAGCTGCCCACTGCTCCACCTGGGTGCAGAGAACTGATTTGATCATTGTACGGGAGCATGCAACGATGACAACATATAGCACTTATTACTTAAGAAGGGTCAATGGTCAAACAACTCCCGGGATGGAGGGGTGGGTCAGCAACACAACAGCAAACCGTTTAATAAAAAAAAAGTCTTCACCTACCGAGGCTTCAAAAACATGACATTCAAGCCAAAAGACTGAATTTATTTTGTTATGTACAACCGTTTCATTCAGTTTTATCAATGAACACACAGAACAGGACAAGGAAGGACAAAACCTCTCCAAGACAAACAAGTTTCAGAGTAAAACTTTTCAGACGATGGCTGAACGGATTGTTTCAGCTGTAAAGGCTCCTGGACTCATCGTCATGTCCCACATTTATCCCAGCAGCAGCTGTGCAGTTTGTCTTCGTCCTCATTGTGAGTGAATGGTTCTGTTTGATCTCGGCGCGAGGATGTTAGGCAGCTGATTCTTCTGCAGTCCTCTCCTCATACGCCTGCAGAGCCAGTTTGATGAAGGCTGACATTTGGGACTCAGTCTCAGCATAAATCTGTGGGAACAAACATCACAGGTCAGCATAATGACAGAGGACAGAGTTTCAGCTGCATCATGAAACCCTTCACTACAATCTGTAGTAAAAACTGTATGTGACCGTAAAATCCAGAAATCAACTAAGTGAATAAAACATTTTCACACTCGGAAGGTCACAAACAAAAGAACCCGTTTGATTTTATTGCTTCTTTTAAACTTGATAGTGACCGACTTCAAAACAACTACTGTAGTTTCTGCCTTAAAAATCACATCAGTACAAATACTAATACTATAAAGTGGGGAAAAAAACAAATACGTCACTTCGCCATATAAGTCGCATCTATTATGCGTCACCACTGACGTGTCACGATTGTTACGCGTCACTGCTGACAACCCGGAAATGTGATCCGGTGTGCCAAAAATCGATTGGCTGCCAAATGGCGGCTGCGGGAGTGTGCATGAGAGGACTTTAACAAGAATTTAACAAGATTAACACTTAAAAATAATTATTTGTTTGCTCGAAATTATAGCAAAGGTGTGTCTCAGTCCAAGTTTTCCTTAATAAATGCACTTTGACGGTCGATCAGCTGCATTTCACTTGAAATGAAGCTCCAGGAGTTCCAGAGTGAGACGAAGGTGGCTCAGTATGGCAAGCAAAGTGTCTCATTAATAGCCACTTTTACCTATTAATGAGACATATGGCTTGCCATATGGGTCAAGGGTCCTCTAGCGGCTGAAAATGGTAGTGTTCCATATTTTCCATGTCAGAATGAATGAAATTGTCAGATCTCAGCTAAAATTTGGATTATAAATATGAAAAAAACTTAAATTAGTCGCTTCGGTGTATAAGTCGCAGGACTTGCTAATTTATGCAAAAAGATGTGACTTATAGTCCGAAAAGTACGGTAAATATTGTAAGTAGGACTAAGACAGAGTTCCTAGCACTTCATGACAACAATTTATTGAGTTTGCCTGATTTTGTCCGAGTAAATCCTGAAATTCCAGAAGAGATTTCAATCACACAAAACGTTCAGCACTTAGCGTCTTAGGTGCTGGTGATACGGAAATCGTTCATGTTGATTTTAACATCAGAAACTAAAAATCCAGCAGAGCCAGTCAGTAAGGATTCATGCACTCTGTACAATGAAGAAGAACATGGACTCAGTCATACTAGAATACCAGCATTAAATTATAAACATGTTAAAATCTTAGATCATTTAATCAGCAGATCAGTGTTTGAATTCCCTGAGTTTTCCTCGTCTGGAAAAGGTTGACATTATTTTCCAGGTTTTCCCTGATCTCCAGAGTTGCTGGGAACCCCGTAAGAGTACCGTGCACGGCACATTATACATCTGTCAACAGCAATACAGTAATTCATAGGAATGGCCCAGTTATCGCCAAGCAATACTGGCTTGACAAAAAAATAAAATTCATTCAACCTTTATTTATACAGGTTAGTCTCATTGAGCCTCGGGGACTCATTTACAAGAGAGACCTGAATTTTCACAAAATTAAATACTGAATGATTAAAACCGGAAAATAAAAGGCAATAAATGTTGTTCGTGACATTTCGTTCAGTGATGTCACTCGGTTGTATCGACTTCAGTGAAATAAATCTGAAGGGAGCAGACTGGAGAGAGTTCAAGACTCCATCTGAAGTTGATGCACAAGTGTATAAAGTGCCATAAAATTATCTTGAACAGAACCACAGTTCTGGCCCAAACAAGTAAAGATCTTGTATAACATTTGACCTTGACTTGTGACCTCGACGTCATTTTGCCCATGTCGACATTTTCGGTGTTTTAAAAAAATAAAGTCGTTTTGTCTTTTGGCTGTGTATAGGCCCGCTATGCTCATGTCCCTTTAAGACGCTGCGCTACGTGCAGTCTGTAGTCACGTGACTCCGCCCCATCCAGTCTGTAACAAGAAGTGAAAGAGCCACTGCGGTTGAGAAAATGGGAGGAAGTTTCAAATGTTGAAGCAGCAGCAGCTGGTCCAGGAGAAAGAGGAGCAGCTAATTTTTTTTTTTTAAAAAGCGTCATCAGTCGTCTGGCAACATTTTGGGTTCAGCAAAGACGATATTGAACAAAATAAAGCCAAGTGTAAACTATGCTAAAAAACTGTTGCGACAAGCCATGGCAATACATCCACCTCTTCCACCACCTGCAACCTTCACACAGAGGTCGGCCTTGCACATGACATTATATTTGCACAACTCATCGTTTACTTTTCCAAATGGTAAATTTATTTTTTATTATTTAGTTTTATTTACAAGGGAATACTTGACAACTCAAATGTGACCATTTCATTTATAAGAGATTGTATTTTTAATACTTTGCGTTTACAGGAAAGTTATTTTATATTTCTAAATTTGTTCAGTTGTGCTTATTTGTTCAAAAACTATTAACAACTAAAAGTACACATTTTCTTCATTTATTTGCAGAAGCTGTAGTTTTTAAGTTAATTAAAGTGGCAATAAAAAGGGAATTATGCCATCAATATAACTGGCTGTGAATTATTTATTTTCGGGGGTGGGGGTTGCAGTTATCGTCCATTTATCGTTGTCGAGGTGAACCGAGCACGGACTTTGTTGCTCAATATATTGTGATGTTGATTTTAAGCCATATCGCCCAGCCCCACCTTTACTATCATTTCGAGCAAACAAAAATTTTTTTTTAATGTTAATCTTGTTAAAATCTTGTTCAAGTCCTCCTGTGAACGCTCCTGCGGCCACCATTTGGCAGCCAATCCATTTTTGGCCCACATTTCCAGGTTGTCAGCAGTGACGCATAACAAGCGTGACGTTTCAGCGGTGATGCGTAATAGATGC